TACCGTTTGCCAATATCTGGCTATTTGGTCCGTACTGTTTGATTTTACCCAAAATCGGACCGTATAATCCGGACTGAGACCAAATAGCAACAATCCTATCTCATATTCGGGCTTAGATTTGAGGTAAAAAAACCCGGATAAAGACCGGACAAGAGACCCCAACACTCAAATCCCCACAAGCTCAATCTAAAATCAATATCAAATTGGGACCGGACCGGATCAAGACCGGACTATATCCAATCCAATATTTAATCCTTATATTACCGAAAAGACCGGACCGAGACCGAATCAATTTGATCCAATTTAATTGGACCGGACCGTATAGCCATCCCTAATATCGAGTAACTTGGTAACTCACTCTCACGAAAACCACTATCACCATTCTCTCTTCTTCCAACTCTCTCGCTTTCTCTTCATTCTTTTTTATAACTCAAATATTACTATGCTTTCTTGCCACCGTCTCTGCATTCTATCGCCGCAACTCATCGAGGGAAAATATGAAGTTATCTACTCTCCTTCTTTTGTTGGTGCTCAAGATTTCCATGGTAGATTCTAGATTTCGATTCCCTTTTTGTCGATCTCTTTCTCATATTTGAATGTTTATTTTGTGTGTAAATAAGTTAGTGCTCTGATTCGCGAAGGGTCGGTTCAGAAACTTGCTCTGCATGCTCCACTCTCCCATATATTTTACTAATATGCAATTGACGAAGTTTGATCCACGTCCTGCACATTAGTTGGTTTCTTTTGCTCGTGTGTAGTGTAGGTATTATATATCTTTCATCTCTAATCTATCATTGTTTCTATTCATATGTTCCGGTTTCAGATCCTTCATCCGAAATGAAGGTCGGATCTGTAGAAGGTGTTAGAAGGGAGAGACAAAGGTCACCCAAAACAGGCAAATTTGTCATATAAAGAACAACGATGGGGTATTGTTTGTGTTGCCGGAAGCACGACATTACTGTTCATAGTGTTGAGCAAGCGCCCTCGAATGACGGAGAGTTGATGTTGTCAAGAATGCGGAATTTGGTGATGGTGGTGAAAAATATGCAGGTGATTTTGCTTCGAGAGGCTCACGGGATGAACCATAGGATTCGTATGAGAAGTCGAGAGCGCAAGAGACGAATTTTAGTGAAGAATCCCGACGGTTCGGAAATCCAGCAGTTGGGTCGGACGATCAATGAAGGAATCCAAAAAATTTCCTTTTCTTTTTTTAGCTAGAAAGGTTTCTCCTTTTTTTTTTTTTTTTTTTTTTTTTTATCTTGCGAACATAAGTACATAATTAACAATATGGAAAAGACGACAAAACTTAGATACTAGCTAATTTGTAAATACACTCAAAATGGTAGGAACATTTCCGGTAATATAAAGTCATAGTGGCAAAATTGTGATATCAAACAAAATAATGAGGCTAATTCCGGTTGTTTGGACAGGTGTCATGATAGTAGGCATTCTGAGCTTTAGAACTCAGCTTTTAGATAGAGTAACAAGCATAGTCTTGTCCTTTAAATAGCGACGGCGAGGAGAAACAGAAACAAGCAAGTAGGGAGCTGGAACATGCTTTAGTGCAGGCTAGGGTATTTGGTGGATTCATATCTACTAGATCAGTTATGCGCCGCGCTACGCAGTGGCGTGGGTGGAGTTTTCCTTGCATCTTTTGCTAACCCGTGAAGCTAACATGTCCAATTAGGTAGATGTGATGTTTATTAAGACTACATGGTATACAGATATAGAGCAAGAAGTTGCAAGAAGAGGTGAAATATAAGCTTAACTGGGGAAGCTAATACTTAATTGGCCGGGACATCTTTATAACTAACTGTTTAAAACATGATTTCAGAACACTACTACATTGCCATTTGTAGGTAACATAACAACCTTCTTTTGTGAAGACAATTTAGGGTTAGTTTGAAAAACATGATTTAATGAGTGGATTTACTGAATTTATAGTTTTTATAGAACATTATATAATTTTTTGTTGTTTTTTGTAACGTGGATATTAACATTAGATTTCAAATATCTAAAGTCTATTGATATCAATATCTTATCATCTGAGATATTTTATGTCTTGATTTGTGAGATTTTTTCTCGTACTTTATCCCTTCTTTTTTTTTTATCAACAAAATTTTAAATATTTCTCGAACCACTCTAATTTTTTTATATTACGAATCATGGTTGTCATGCCAGTGGCATGTTGGCCGGTTCAACCTGATTCAATCGGTGCCGGTCATGAAATCGGTATGATCGACTTACAAACTCTAAGTAAATTTGCATCGTTTTAGTAAATTTGATTGATAAAAAATAACTTAGTATATGTTTTACTGATATAAGAGTTAAAAGTTTATGTAATTTCAAAAATTTGTTGGATTCGTGTATATATGTTTTGATATTGACGTTAAATATATTTGAATATGAGTATTTATTATTTTGTTTTGAATATCGCATTAGATAAAGCCGGCATGAACTGACACAAACTGGTTGTACCACTGGTCATACCATTCCACTTGCTAAACCGGCGCAATAGTATAAACCGGTTTGACAACCTTGTTACGGCTAAACATGTTATTTGATATAAAATTAGAATTTTTATTTTCATTGAATGTTAACAATCACGGTTATCAAACAATAAACATTTTAAAATTTATTTCCAATAATTCGAAGAGTTAAAATCTCTAAATTATTAACTATTTATAAATTTAGAGTCATATTCTTCAAACAACCCTTAACTACTTTTAAAAACTACAATGCATATTTATCACTTCCTGAGAAGTGTTGGCTTCATTCATTGTTTGTAACTTTTGTCCACAAACACTTCTCGAAAAATATAAATACATTTTAACTCAAGAATGTTGCATATATTATAGCTAAAGTCAGTTCAATTATATCCCATATAATGCATACCTTTGAGCACGTATGGACAGCAATTTGTATTTAAACATGCGAAGCGGAGGTAGAGTGACACGTTCCACACCAAGCATGGCCACAAACAACCAAGGTGCGGGTGACCTAAAGGAAATGGAAGAAAACACAGTAGTACATGATAGCAAAACTCTTGTGAAACAGTAACTTCCTTATATGTTTAATAATATTCATGGATACTTATGCGATCCAACGGGAGTGTGAAGAATTCAAAACAGAACGGTTATTGGTTGTCTGGTTTACTTGCTAACTGTTGGTTTCTAATCATGTAGAATCTGGAATACCAAATGCAGTTTTTTACTACCGCCAACCAACATTGCCGGTTACCGGTTTAACACATGACTGCTTAGCGACATTTTCTTTTAACCTAAGCATGTGCTCTATCGCCTTAGTGGAATTGCAAGGTGATGTAGAGAGGGCTTCAGTTGCCTTGGGACCTTGGTTACCGTCGAGTGCTAGCTCAGCTGAATTCCAGATGTACAGTTTGTTTAGCTCCTTCGCCAGGATGGTGATGTTCATCGTCACACAACAATCATCCATGACCTCCAAGGCCATAATTGGCAAGTTGATGTTTCGCGTATGTACAAATAAGAGAACAAGTGTGTAGATTTTATTGCTAGTGGGGGATACTCGGTCCCTTTGGGTCTCCATACCTTTCATGTTTATGATCCAGATTTGTACTGTTGGCTTATGTATGACCTTCAGGAGATTTCCGAATCCCGATTGATTTTGAATGAAAGTTAGGATAACCTACGTCCAGTTATTAAAAATACAAAAACTGACAAGCACAGGCGTAGACTAATCCCCGCTTTCTTTCTTTCTTCTTCTACCTCACGTCGGTTGAAGACGAGTTTATCTTCCTACCCCAGCTTAGTTCCCGTGGTATGAGTTAAAATCTACATAAGAGTAGACCTAAGACCTATTCAAAAGAATCTCTATTGGGCACCCGAGATGCCTATAAAGAGAAATGATAGTACCACTCATGTTAATTTATTAATTGTGCTAGACGAGACATAAATAAAATAAAGGGATAATATCATATATATATACTAGCTTTATACCCGCTCGTTGGGCGGCAAATTTTGATTGGTTATTATATTTTTTGTCCTAATATTATAATTTTATTTATGATTCATTATGTTAAACTATTATACATTGAATTGTTCATCTCACTTACCAAATTTCATATATTGTTCCACATTTTTATATCTTTCATTTATTTATGAAAATTTAATTTTATTAAATGAGCTCTCTATAGTACTTTCTTTATTGATTTATAATTGTGTATCGAATCCACCATTTAAGATATAAACTAAGAGATTGTTAATTTATTAGCACATAAAGTGACAAAGAAGTTAAAATTTTGAAGGACACAAAAGAAGTTAAAATTTGCAAATATATTTCAATTAATAAAAAAAAGTGAAGAGCTTTCATTTTCTCACCCTTCTCGTACGTTGGTATACGATAATAGAGAATATCGCGATCTAGATCCCACAAATATCGTGCAGTTTCAGTTACTCGTGTAATTTTGGAAGAATGAGATAGATTACTGCCAAAAGGATCATGTTTTTCTACCTAATAACAACATAGATGAATAGTAAAAGTTGTATACTTCAATAAAACTAAAGTCATTACATCTTGCAGAGTCCCCATTGTGAATCGGATTGATGCATCAATCCAAATAGTAGTTGTTATGAAAACAATCAGGCCAAAATCAAGCTTTAGTTAGGGATTTAATTAGGCAAAATTCACGCTAAGGAAACAAACCAATGTCATTACAAACATCTAGAAATTGGGGAAAACATCGACATTTACTATCATTTTATTTCTTCTTCGCGCCCTTTATAAAACCCCAAATATATTCCCTCCTACTTATAACCCCCTGCTACATATTATTTACTTGATTAGATCATCGTCATATAGCTAGCTAGTAGCATGTCACTCATGAACATAATAAACATAATGAACAACCCTCACAACTCAGCTTTCCATTTTAACATCCAAGGAATCGAGTTGCAATAGGCCTTCAAGAAAAACGATCAATTATTCAACCAAAGGAGAGATGCTCCAAGTCCAAGCAACAAACCCTTTAAATTATATGTTACATGTTTACATCAAAGTATATAGGATAACAGAGAACCATAAAACAACTACCAGAATAACGAAGAAGAAATACAACCATTGAATCAAAAAGGGAAATTTACTATCCAGTCGCCGTAATTTGGAAGAAATTAAGAAAAGAATGGGAAGAAGACTATAACTCGGCCAGTCAACCGCTAGCAGTCAGATATCTCTGAGGAAGAAAGATCAATTGCCTGCTGCGGATCAAAAGGGAAGAGGGAGAAATGATAGGCTGGACTTTCCTTCGGCAATAGGCAAAATATGTTAGAGTTTTTCAATTCTTTTCCAACAAATTATTGCATCATGTAACTCCCGCCTCCTATTCTCCTACAAAGAGAAAAAAAACTCAATATGCCTTACCATTTCCTTTCGTATATCTATATATAAAAAAGTAGAGAATACAAATTATAGAAACTCAAAATTTAAGAAAATAAGAAGAGAGATTTATTTGTTTTTGTGGGGCTTGATCTAGTTTCTTTATTATCAATGTTGTGTTTTATTTTCAATGTTGTATGGAAAAAGGAATAGGAACAAATCAAAATGTTGCATTCATTTTTATTAACTTAATTTACTTTTTATTGATAACGATGACAATTTAAAGAGTAAGTAAAAAAACACACCAATTAGACCTTGTCCAGGGTGGAAGGGTGAGAGCTAGCTATGTGCTGATGTGGCACTAAATTACTTGATAAGATTTAATCATATACTTTTCATTTAAACAAATTCGATATAGTCACTATCTATTTCCATCTTTATATTTTTTTTTAATTGACAAAAATATTATACTTTTATGTGTTTGTTTACATTATCATAAAAATGTAATTTATTATTAATTTTTAGTAAAAATGAGTAGAAATATTAAAAGAAGAGAGAGATAGCTCCATAAATAGATTAATAATGAATTTTTTGTTTTCAAAAAAGTTGTCCACCTTGGCATCTTGTGAATTCTCCAAGTGCTTATGTGGCAAGAAGTTACTTTTGAATTGCCATAATATATAGTATAGATATAGATAGATAGATAGATATAGATAGATGGTGGCAAGGGAGCAATTTATAAGCGAAGAAAAGGGGAGAGAGAGCGAGGCAGGGGAGCCGAACAGTCATGTAGGCTGAAGCGAATTCAAAATTTGAAGTTTGAAATCGCTTCAGCCTGGGGGGAAAGGAGAAGGGACCGGTGATCGAGGCGGAAGCTCAACAGTCTACCCGCAATCAAGGCGGGAGCCCAACGGTCGGCCCGCAATAAATAAGGGATTTTTTAATAAAGAAGATGGAAGGCGACACGGAGGTCAGCAGCGGGAGGGGAGTGAATCCCAGGCAAGGCGTGGCGCGTTAGTCGGCGAGAAGAGAGAGCCAAGGCGCAAATGGGGAAGGGTGAGGAGAGAGCGCACCACGGGAGGAGGCACGTCAACCAGGCGTGCGCTGGGGGCACGGAGGCGCCGCTGGAGACGCCTGGGGTAGTTAGGCCCCCACCGGGCGGTAGGCGCCTAACTGGGGGGCAATTGTTGGGGGCATATAAGGAGAGGCCCAAATAAGGAGCCCAAAGGGTCGTAATGGGTTTGAAGTATGGGCCGGGCAAGGAGAAAGCCCGGCCCAAAAGTGGGAACTAGAGGCTGTGGTCCAGTTGGTGGGGCCCGGCCCACGGAAGGGCGCAGGGCGACAAAAGGGGGTGGCAACGGTTAAAAGCGTACGGAGGGGACAAGAGGCGGGGCCATGCGCCCCCGGGGCAAAAGGTTGTGTCAGAGTGTCGGAGCGCATGAAAGGGGTAAGGTACAGTGCATTTAATAAGGTGATGACGTGGGGCGAATTTGGGGGGCAATGGTCGACCCTACCCCGAGTATAAATAGTAAACTGGGTGGAGCTCATTTACTCAGGTTCCAACTTCTCTCTAAAACTTACATCCCACTTCTCTCTCTAAAAGGGTCATACTGACTTGGGCGTCGGAGTGCTAACGAGCCCTTCCCAAAAGCTCGGTGGGCGCTTGTGTGTGCAGGAAGCGAGGACGTAAGCGGACGCGTACGGGAGATCGGAGGCGTGCGGGGGTCTTTAGGAGAGAAAGGTTACGTGGCACAAACAGGTACCAAAATGTTATAAAATATAGTTATAAAAATATAATTATTCAATGATTTTATATTAAAATTAAATTTGGGATATTAAAATGTAAAATATCATAGGGACTACTTTGTAATTTGTTTTGGCAACAGTAAAACTACTCCAGCTTTATATATAAGAATATCGACGCTTGTTATTTATATCACAAAGTTTCAATATCGTTTTTGTACTTAAAGTTCTAAGTTTATTTTACTTTTAAATTTAACAGTTGACCTAACAAAGGTCAAAGTATGCATGACGAATAATTATGTGACGCCTAAATGCCTTCCTTTTGTAAGTGAAACATCAACATTTGACGCGTTGATTCTTGAATCTTGACAACTAAAGGCCAATTTTAACGAATTATCATAACGCAACTAACTATAATATTGCACCAACCGATGCTGCCATCTATATGGTCATTCATGACCCCAAGGCCAAAACAATTACCTACGTTACTGAGCCCAGATCTCATCCAACCAGTCTAGCGGCATGAACATACCAAACACAACTATTTGAACTTTGGCACTAGACCCTAAAGATTTATTTTGAGCTTGACCAGCCGAAATCTATAACTAACCCATATATCTATATCTTCCATTATCTTAATGTTGCATCCAAACCATGCATAACAGCAGATGAAGTAAAGTTCTAGCAGAAGCAGCGTCGGCGAGAGGATATGAAACTCCTTACCCTTATTGGGTTGCTTGCAATATTTCTTTGATATCATATCCTTGGAGCTGAGAAATGGAAGAGCCAAAAGAAACAACATCGGGTTAACAGCATTCAAAAAATTTCAAATGCAAGATTCGTTACTATGGAGCTAGGATTTGAGTATTCAAAGCAGGATGCTAGGAGATATATACTAGACTGGGAAAGATTGAACTAGAGGAGGAAAAAAATGTACCTGAAGCAAGGTAAGAACCAAGATCACGCCAGAGTTCCAGCAAGCATGAATGGTAATTGGAGTAAGAAGGTTCCGTGTTTGAGCATAGGAAAATCCAAGCAGAGTTCCTAATCAAGTTTGCCGAATTCTCTTAGTTACTCATCAAGGAAACGAAGCTGTACAATCAACCAAAGCTGTGCATTCAAGTGTGCTAGTATATACCTAAGACAAACAGTTGGGGAAACTCTCCTGGAGTTAGATGTGCTAGAGCAAATACTGCTGCACTAATCACAACAGCTATTGGTGTTGGAACCCTAAGGGAAGTAGGAGAGAGAGAAGTATAGTCCGTCAGCACATAGCAGGCAGAATAATCAATGTATAACTAACAAACTCATATTAGTTATATACCACTTCGTAAGAGAAACCATGAAAAATCCTCGAAAGACATTCTCCTCCAAAATTGGAGCAAGGACACCCGTGATTACTAGCAGTAAACCAGTGCTGCAACGGTGGCGAAAACAAGTAATGCAGTTTCAATCCATACTAAAAATTCAAACAGTGGAAGGGAAAGAGATTTCAACATTCACTTTTTTACATGGTAGCAATTTCGAACTTACCTGATGCCTGAGGATCCGATCAGTGGAAGAAGCCGAACAAGAGCATCAGCCTGCAATAAATAGAAGTGAAAGGTACCTTACATGACAACATGTAGGAGGATGTACAAAGATCAAGAAAAAGAAGCTCATAGAAAGAAACATCAAGAAATTAGAACACCGACCAATTAGATTATACTAGACAAACATGGGACTAATAAGCTGCCAGTAAGATGTCCCACCTAAACCAGAAATGGAAAGAGACTTACTGGAAATAACTCGCCAGTGTACTAGAAGGAAGAGAGATTTCCAAGTTGGCATGACTTAATACAGCCATGGCACTAGCCATTTGAAGCATACACTACCAAGTACTTCTCCATTCGAACTTCCATCATCCCTTATGTCTCTACCATAACAAAAAAAAAAAAAATAATGATTGAAGGTAAGAAACAAGTTCCTAACCTCACGTTCTTGAGTCTCGCCATTAAAAGTAGAGACAACAAATCCTGTCAATGCAATGGCAAGCACAGCACTTCCAAGACCTATTCCAGCCCACAATAACCAGCCTCTTCGTAGGTTGAAGGGTTCCTTGAAATCTGGCAAAACATCAAACCATCCTGAAACTTTACTGCTTGAATGGCAGAATGATTACAATAAATGAGCCATTGCCGAACTGAATCTGCAGAAGTTGTAATCAAACAACATATTAAGACTGCTTTACCATAGCGATAGATATCTTCAGGAAGCGGTCCAAAGCTCTTCGTAATACTATACATAACTCCAAGTACAACTGCTGTTGTTAGACTGGGTAGGAGCAAATCTTAGAAAAGTCAGAAACCCGTGGAATTACCAATTTTGCTAAGAAATGAAGTCATCCCCTGTACCTTTGATCCAAAAATAATATCTCAGCCTTCTCATCTAAACTCAACTGTTCAAATTTAATTCCCAGAAATGGCAGTGTCTCAACCTCCACGAACCCTGTCAAAATAAAACTGCCTGCCTAAAAAGTTAATTCACTTTCTGTGTAGCTAGCCAAGATCATACACCAATTTAAACTACAACAGTTAGTTACGTATTCCCATGATTGCATCATTAAAATAATCTTTTCCCAAGAAACAAGTACCCAGATAAGAAAATTTTGAGAATTAACACATCAAAATTAGGAGCAATCGGAAATCAGAACCTAATTCCACAGGCAAGTGATGTTAATGAAACAGTTGGCCACTCCCATGGCACGTCCCATCTCTTGAAAGCAGGCCAATCCAATCCACTCTCCTAAAATCGCAACAAGACATCCCCAAAAAGTCTGTAAATTTGAAAAGGAGAAACAGACAAAGCGCTATCAAAACAGAATCTCGAAGCATAGCTGAACCTTAGGCTCAAGTTTGGTCTTCGACTTCTCTTCTCCAGCATTGAAGAAGCAAACAGGGCGCAATCCTCGGTTAGAAACCCGAATTAGCCTTCCTGGAGCTACCAACTTCGCGATTCCGACTGGAGTTCTCAGTGAAGATGATAACTTGGAAGGAGAAGAGAGAGCGTGCACAGAGGACTGGGCTAAAGAAGTGAAGATTGCGGAAACCATGCTGCTGGGAATGGGATTGGAGCTCAGAACTGGGATTGGAGTAGAACGTTGTGCTCGCTGAGAGATAAGGAACTGGGGGGAAATCTGGAGGCACTGCTTTGGTTGGGCTTGGTAGTTTTCTTTTCTGTGGGCAACATTTTCTCTTGGGATATTTTTTCTTTTACCGCAGTTCACCAAAGAAACACAAACATATTCCTGGTTTATAAACCGTTTGGTACCAAATGAATTTAGAATTTATTTTATTTTAAAATGAATTCCTATGTAGAATTCATTGTCAAATGAATTCTTGTGTTTGATATATACTATTAGCGTTACAATCAAATTCTTGTCGATGTTCCTCATTTTGCATGAATTGGCGCCAAATAATATATGTAAAAGTAATTTTGTTAATAAATGAGAATAATTATGTCATTTTATCATAATTGGTAAATACTTGTGGAATTCATTTGAAAATTCCATCTCAATTCATCGGAATTGCTATAACTAGTTCCAATTCCGTAGAATTCAAAATTTAGAATTGAAAATGAAATCTTTTAATTACCAAACACAAAAAGATTTCATTTCAAAATAAATTCCTAAAAACTTATGGAATTCATTTATACCAAACGGTATGTTATAGTTATTTAACCCACATTGCACACACTGTGTATTTGCTTGTGATTTCTTTTGTTTAGTTTGTTGTATTTTTTTGGTAAATTTCTTTTCATAGGCGTTTGCCCTCGATCCAATTGGGGGATCAAATTGATTATAGAAACATGAGTTTAATTAATCGATTTATTAGTGAACAAGAAAAAATATTATCGAGACAGGTAACTAGTTGACTTTAAAACAACAACGATTAATTACTATTGCTATAAAACAAGCTTGTGTTTTATCTTCGTTGCCCTTTCTTAATAATGAAAAACAATTTGAAAAAAGCGAGTTGGTTGCTAGTACTAGGAAGTGCAAACTATTCTAAAAGTGTTATTTGTGTACTAAACTATTCAATATAACAAATATGGCACAAATTATATACGCTTCGGGACATTTGTGTTCTAAACTAATCAATATGACAAATCTGGCACAAACCACATAGATACTGACTAGATTTTCTATTAAATACTAACGGTCAATGTCGGTCAACATTAACGAAAAAATAGTTCGTGTCAAATTTTTCATATTGAATAGTTTAGAACACAAATGACATTTTTTAAAATAGTTTGAACTTCCTAGTGGAATTAGCCCTATTTTTTTAAAACAAAAGGTAATTTGTTTGAAATAGAGGTAGAACACCTATCAAACTGTCTCATGTCAAAATGGATGTTTTGCAAATAGGAAGGAAAATAGGCATAGACTAGCATGATATGTGGGTTAGACACGGTGATTTAGCACGCAAATGCCTCAAGAATGAAGGCCAATGGACACCTATTTTAGGTGCTATCAATTCCCCCACACTTAGGCATTTGCTTGTCCTCAAGCAAACATACAATCAAATCATGCAACTCGAGTCATCTATATCCCCCCGCACTTGATGGATTCCGTAGGAGTCAGGTTTCTAGTGTCTAGGGTCGTCCTAATTCTATATGATCTTTCTTGATCCACTCGAGAAAGGTCGACATGGATGTTCTCAAAATATGGTGATAGGCACAAGGTGCAAAATAAAGCTCTCAAAGATAGGTGAAAGGATCGGTGCTCTCACGGTTCTTTTCTACACTCTCTCGACAACCTTTTATTCCTATCTAGAGTCTCGCTTTGGGGGGGAGGGGGGTTTATTCGGGTAGTCATTCATATTAAGATGAGAATGTGCACTTAGGCACTTATTATTGTGTGCTTGTTAGCAAGGCAAGTAGGGATAAATTCTCCTACCTATATCTCGGCCCATGAGAGGAAGTACATGGGAGGATGGAAAGCTATCCGGTCTCTCATGCACATTGTCCTAAAAGGCATTCCCATTACTCTAGAATGAATTGCCACACCATGTTGCATTAGAAACTACACCCCACTTTATTCTCTTTTTTTTCTTCCTCATTTTTCTTTTTGAATGCGAGAAAGCACATAACCGAGCACCTTTCTAATGGTCTAACCAAGAGAACTAGGGTTCACTCACATGCAAGGAATCAAACAAAACCACTTCGACTCAAGACATCCCACGCACTACGTTCATCAACATTGGTCAAGACAATGAAGAGCAAGATTCAACAATCCGAAGCAAGTAATTGCATTGCAAGCAAATGAGCCAACTTGGAGCCCTCAAAATCTCTCGTCGAAGCATTCAAACATTCATAGTATAAGAAAGATCAATTGATAACAAACATTCCACAAGCATTAATGCGACCCCCCCCCCCCCCCCCGCCGCCGCGACACACTTACAAAACATATTGTCCCCAATGTGAGCATGGGTGAAGAACAGGGGAACGAGGTTACCGATTTGTTGATGTCGTTGATTCCGAGTTGATTGTAGATCTAAGGGTAGGGTGGGTTTGATCGATTGGTGAGAACATCCACGAGAAAAAGAACTACGAAAAATATCAATCACATCCACAAAATGAAAATTTTAACAACAAAGTACTAATCATTCAAATAAGAAATCCTACTAAGTACTTAAATAGAAAAGCACACACATAATACTAGCATCCTACATAGATAATTATTCAAATGGAAAGAGATGAGAAAAAGTTAGAGAAATGGCTTGTTTCATTGAGATCCGCGAGTGCATGGTGTTGTAGAGCATTCCGAGGAGGTAGGATTCTGCAAAGACATTCAAACAACACACAAGTGGCACACGAGTCCAATACCTCATTAGGAACTCTCAATAAGAACAATCCCCCACACTTGTTCTTCAAACAAAAATTCAAACTCTATGTAAACAACCAATTCAACAAAATCCACAAAAACATGCTCCATAGGGTTTTGATAACATTAAATGAGGTAATCTTACGTTCACATGAGAAAAGTTATGATTAAAGTCAACTCTATAGCATAGAAATATCACATTTCAAACCATAAACCATCTAAGTTGCAACTCAACATCACAAAAAAGAGATCACCAAAGTCATATCACAACATGGAAAACCAATTTTTTCAAATAAAGCCTTCTATGGTAAACATGTTACAAACCAACTATAACTGATAACGATGTAATTGCATGATTTTATACCCCTATTTCTTATCCATTTGCGGAGCATGGTTGTGTGTTTTGGCCTATTTTACGCCGGGTTGTGCTACTTTGTCCTATTTCAGGCCCCAGGCGTCAAAAGGAAGGCCAAGCGCGAGTTTCGGATCGCTTGGAAGTCGTTTGGACAAGCCAGGACCAAAACACGGGCAGGAGGCCCTCAGAACACGGCCGTGTTCCTGACCGTGCTTTTATGGCCGAGACTTCCCAAGGGTGGTTTGAACCACCTAAAAAACACGGGCAGGCCAGAGAGAGAACACGGCCGTGTTTTGCAAAGACCACGCCCGTGTTTTCATGATGCCCGTGGCCGTGCTTTTAGCCAAATCCAAAACACGGGCGGGCTGAGGCAAAGCACGGCCGTGCCCTCGACCGTGCTTTGGCCAATGATGCCCTTTTAGGCAGATTTCAGCCAAATTGAGAGGGGATTCGAGTTTTAGAGAGACAGAGCGATTCCTAGAGAGAGAAAGCGACGAACAAGAGCCTCCAAGTGCCCTAGATCGATCTTCAACACCATTGGAGCTTGGTTTGAGCTTGGAGAAGTGCCGATTCAATGTCCAGGAGCAGAAATCCATCTTCACAGTATGATTTCCGCGTCTGATTCTGCTTTTGCTTCTTTCTCCATGGAGTAGTTCTCCCATTCATCTGGGTGTGGGAAACCCTAGTTCTGTATGTTGGGATTGATTGTATGAACCCAAGTACTGTTTCTATGAATTGATTATATTCGATTGAGGTTTGAATGATTGAATGACATGAATCCTGATCAAATTCCTGTTGTTTCTGCTTTAACCTAGAATGATAATATCTGCCTAGGTTAATAGAGTATCCTTGATTGAAGGTAGTGAATTGGTGACTTTAGTCGAGGAGCCAATTCACTATTCTGTACCGAATTCAATTCGGTAGTGGAGGTTTTGTTCATAGGGCCTCAATCTGTTTACTCCGGTGGAGGTTAGTCGCCCGCTAGAGACTCAGATTGAGAGGGTCTGAAGACCTTTAGTCGAGACTTCAGACTGTTTGAGAACCTTCCGCAGTATAACTATCATAGAAATTGAACTTGGTAATTACAATCCGGCTTAACTTCAGACTAGGGGGAACCATATCCGGGTGACCTCTCTTAACCTGAAAACAACCGTTTAGTTGCTTTGCTTGCTTGTTAGTTTAGACCTTCACTAAAGTTTCATTGCTAGATAATACGAATTCACTGAGTAGTCATCACATCTAGGACCCGGGTTGACATTGAAACCCAAACCCGCTATACTACGCTTTAGGAAGTGGTTACACTTGGCCATTTTCTAGAGTGACAGTAGGAGTGAGTCAAGTTTTTGGCGCCGTTGCCGGGGACGGCTAGGTTGTTGAAGAAAAGTGATTTCTGTTACTCTAGCATTTTCATTTTCGCATTGAGTTTTTGTTCTTTCCCACTTGTGCCTTCACGGGTTTGCATTGCTTGATTGTGTGCAGATAGTGCATGACCCGTAGCCAGTCGGGAGGTTTACTGCCATTGGATCCAGAGATTGAACGCACCTGCAACCAACTTCGGCGACAACAGCGAACTAGACTGGCTACGGTGGAGTACAGAGACGGCCAATTGAGCAGCGAATCCGAGGACGAGCGCAAGATGGAGGGCGAAGACATTCCACAACCGGGGAATGCCCGACAGGCTCCCCCGGTGAATCAGCATCCACCACCACCGCCGGGTCCCACCTTGGAGTACTACTACACTCCACGGATTGCTGACATCCGCCCGGTCATCCTCTATCCACCCATCCCAGCAAACAACCTCGAGATCAAGCCATGCTGGATTCAACTCATCACATCATCTATCAAGTTCCATGGTTTGAAGGATGAGGAAGCCCGGGCACACCTTTCCCGTTTTCTGCAGCTGACGAACGGGTTCAAGCTGAATGGTGTTCCGGATGATGCAATCCGCCTTCACCTCTTCCCCCATTCTCTGGCGGGGAATGCTAAGAGGTGGTTGGAGACACAGCCCCC